ACGTGCTCGTGACGTCGAGAGGGCGACGTCTGGGGAGATATTTTTAAGAAAAACATAGAGAAAAGGTAAGATTCTATTGGGGGACTGGATAGGAAGTGTGGTGGTTGGAAAAAAGGGAAAAACTCTGCCATCATTCTCTGTCGACGTCCTGGCGAGGAGTCCAGAGAGTGAGGGAGAGAGAGAGAGATGAGAATCCAATTGCCAGCGCGGTCTCAAGTGAGATGGAGATATCTGAATAAATTCTAAATAGAAATTCTTCTGAATCTGACACCCTCTCATCTCACCCTCGGGGCTGTATCGACTGTTATTATTTATGATCAAAGAAAGTGGCCTCTCACAATCATCCCACACCTTGATCATATCCTCAGCCTTCCCCATCCTTTGCCAACCCGGAGCAATTCTTTTTCATTTTTCCCCATCCTCTCTCTCTCGCTGTGCTCCACGTTCTGGGCAAGTCTTGGGGGATATCTCATTATGAAAATTGCCTCTTTTCTCAGCGAATTTCGAGCGTCTTCGCCGCTCGGCGAACACACCAGACATATACATACATATATTTTTTCGGTGCCCCATCTGTCGTCCCATTCCTCCATATTCATCACCATCTAATTTTCCCTTATTGAGAATTCTTAAATGAAATAAAAAGATTTCACTCCGTGTGTCTTCGTTTTGTCTGCCGCCTGTGCCATCATATCACTGCGCTCTCCGTGATTATGGAAGATAGTCCCGCTCTTCTGCCTCCTCGGCCACATTCCCTCTTCTCTGCCTTCCAGGGGGGGTGTCTCCTCACCCATCCATGTGTGGCCCCAGCAACACACAGACGCACGCACACACAAGCAGCGCAGGCAAGAGAAAATAAAGAACCAAAAAACGTAACCTTTAATAAAAATAAAATTCACTCCTCGACGCACGATCGTGTACAAAAGTCACTCTGCGAGAGAATTCTTTCAGCCCAGCGCGCCTCTCTTCCAGCCATTTCTTGTGCCTTTATTATGGTTTAGTTCCGAGAAGGAAACAAAAGACCAAACATACAATTTTTACCCACCAACATTTCCCTCTCTCTCTCCATCTTGCGCCGCATCGCGCCCTCTCGCTCACCCACCGCCGTACGTGATGCATCGCCGCCAAGGAGAGACACACAAAGTTCTAGATCAGAGTTACACCATCAATCACCCACGGGCCGCATTTATTCAATTTCCATTGCACCACCGCTCAGGGGTCGCTTGCATCAGCACCGCGAAAATTCAACTTCTCATGCACTTTTGCAACAACTCCGCGTCGCGCCCGATCATATCGCACCAGCCAAGACAGCCTCATCACATAACAACAACAAGACAAAAAAAACCTAAATAGACAGTATTATTATTTTATTTCGCCGTTTCTCCAGTGACACGAAAAATAAATAAAAATTTATACCTGACAACTTCATCGTAATATTAAATATTAAGATGCAGAGACACTTTTATAGCGCGACAACACTCCAAATTGTCTGTATGCCTCGAAGGACACCACGCTGAACTTTTCCCACAGCTCAAAGAGATTTTCTTGACATAGAAAAAGAGACCATCAATTTCATTCACAGTCTCTCCTTGTACGCAAAAAAAAGAAAGATAAAGCTCATGAAATTTCACACCCTTGTTTGACAATTGCGGAAAAAGCAACTCTCTTACATGCCAAATCGTGAAGCCAGAAGAGATAACAAAGTTGTTCTCTTATTATATGATCAGTGACGTAGATCAGTAATCATATATACAAGATTACCGAATAAAAGTGCAAATATAGAAATCACAATTTACGATAGTGAAACCAAAAATATAGTGATAAAGGGGAAATCAGGGCAGTTTCGAACGGAAATGTGGAGCAGCTGAAGGAAAAAGAAGTGCATTCGAATTAACTGAGCACATATTGTACTGAGCACAGATTTTTAATCGTATTTTTACTTAGTTGTGAGGCTGAAATGGTTCAAATTGAAAAACCAAGCCTTAATTTGTAGTGATGAGCACGAATTGGCTCATTTGAATGCCTTAAAAGAGTAGAGAAATTCTCTCAGTTGCTAAAAAATTTGCAGTTTTTAGTTGTTTTTGCCTCCTTTTCCCTTTTCCTGCTGTTCCAAGTGAAGTATCCCTTCTTTCTCACTTGAGCCAACCATTATCATTCATTTTCCCCGTTTTCCCAAATATAACAGTGTGAAACAAATGAGCAAACTGAGCCTCACCCTCATTTTAGTGGGATTTGACACTTAATTTTACATAATCAACTTCCTTTGGAGCTATTTGCAACAATTCGCACAATTTTTCACTTATTTTAAGAAACTTTCAAACAAACCCAATTACAGTGACAAGTTCTTGTCAGAATGATGAATTCAACAATTGGAATCGGTCAACATACGGCCGAATCATTGAACTTATACAAGGTCAATTATAAATTCCATTTGTAATTTCGGTTGAGGAATTTCCGGTCAAACATCTTCGACTAGTCATTCTCTGTTCAGAGCAAACTTAAACTCTCACAAGGACAAATTCTCCGGAAAGACGCTAGTATACCTGCATCTCAATCCTCTACTTGGAAATTCAAATCCCAACAAGGGCGAAAGAAAACACAAACCCAACAAAGCTAACCAAATCTGTTTAGACGGAAAAAAACTTTTCCCAATTTCCGCCCCCCTAACAAATCATAAATATAATGTTTTCGGTAGCGAGTATTTATCTTAGCAATTACCACTTGATTTATGCGACATCCTTAGCGCCCAATTAATCTTCCTCCCCGTCCTGGAAGGATAGAATTAACAATGCAAACAATTATGTCTTGTAATTTTGACAGGACTGTCACAATCTTGAGACAATTTATTTCGCCTCTCCACGCTACTGTTTGCCATCCCTGACTGGAGACCTTCAAGTGGAGAGGCATTATGGGCTGAGATATGGGCAATTTGGGCACCGTCCAAAGGTGGAATAGCGCTGAAAGTGTATGTTGGGCTCTCTCTCCTCCTTGGGGAGGCGCAAAGAGTATCCCTTCTAATGGCGATTGCTTCACAAATTTTCCATGAGCTTTCGCCTCCCCTGCGATAAATCACACACTTTCCAGGCACACCAGCAGAACAACAAAGAACCCAGACAACAGACGAGAAAGAAGATTCTTCGGCATTTCAGCCGCGGCGGAGAGAAGTTCTTCGTACTCATGGCCCGGGAAGACAAGAGAAGATTCATTCTTCGTGTCTGCGGCCTTTTTTCTGTTGCTCTCTTCTGTGCTGCCTCTGTTTTTTTTCGTTCTTCTCTTCCACCAAACGTTCTTTTCCTACAATATTCTTCCTCTATGCTCTTTTTTTCGCCGTGTTAATCCTTTTGTTTCACCATCCATCCTCTCTCTTTCTAGCCTGCCCATAGAGACGCGAGCTCCCCCTTTTGGATCTCTATTGTCTCTTCTCACTCTCTCCCCAAGTTTGTTGCTCTTTATTCTCCTATTCCACACACCATTCTTCCAGTCGCTTCGTAGCTCTTTTTTTGTTGTTGGTCCTCTGCCCTGGGTTCTCGACGGTTCTTTTTTGCACCTCTCTTTCGCTCTCCTACACACCAAAAATTTTCGCCTCCATCAGAGGGCGCGTGTGTGTGCGTCCCGGAGAGTTCTTCAGCCTCATCGCGACACCATCCCTCTCACTCACAGCACCCCAGGCACCCAAGCGCGCTGGTGGGAGCGAGACAGCGGCAGGGCGACCTCAGAGAGCCGTCATCGAGCCATCGGCCTCGCACCAACACACTCTCCAGCACCCCCCACAGCTTTTCTCTCTCACTCACTCTGTCTCTCCGGCGCGGCGGCGTCTTGTTCGGCCACACTTTTGTGCGCCTTTTTTCGCCGTCACACACGCTCTCCTCTCTCTGTCACACCAGCAGACCCAGACTGGGGAAAGAGTCTCTGGGCAGCAACACAGTCACACGAGTGACACAAAGGAAATTTTCAGCTTGTCTGCTCTCTCGCTCGCACTCACGCTGAAACATTGGCTTTTCAGGGTGGAAAGGCACCGGGAAGCACCCAAATCACACCTCCTCGTGACCCGAGCGCCAGGAGGGCTGGAAGCCAGCCTACCTAGGCTTGGCCTAGGCTGTCCGGCCAGCCTGGCAGAGGAAGAAGCGCGCTAGACATCGACCCTCAACCGTCCCTCGCATCCCAGCGAAGTGAAGCCTGACCACAAATGGGGACAGGAAGTGGCCAGAAGCCGTGGACTTCCCGGCAAACCGGTGCGTTTGGGGTGCCACCCTCTGTCGAGCATTCAACACTGCGCGCCCCGCGTGAGAGAGCGAGCGAACAGGCGTTGAGCCCCTCGACAAAATGTTCTGTTGCCGCGGAACAAAGGCGCCCAACTGACAAAAGTTGAGAGCCGTTTTCGTGAGGCATTTCTGGCTTGGGAAGAGTAACACTAAAAGGGGGAATAAGAATTCAGGAGACTCACTTTGGGTAGACGCGATTGCAGCCGCCACTTTCACTTTCACTGGACGTCTGGGGTCGCCACACTGCAAATCCACCCTCTATCACACACTTTATGCACAATATTTGCACAGCACTGTCAATTGTCCGACTGTTGTGGGCTCTGTTCACATGCCAATGCTACAGTTTCTGCTTTTGCCGTGGAAGCGGTTTTTCTTGCACGTCGCTTGCAAACACTATGTCTTCAGCTCGATTCGACTTGTTTGCTGTCTCGCCGAGAGAAGCCAACTGCGATGGCCGACACACGGTGAGTCTATCAACACTCATCCCTCTCGCTCGCGCACCCCCAATTCCGAACGCCCGACAGAGACAACGCGACAAACACACAAATTGCTCAAAATGTGCTCACTTTTGACAGCCCATCCGATGTTTTCTTTTTCTCACTGAGAAACCCGAAAAAACCCCCTTTCCAATCGAAATTTTCCAAAATTCACGATGGAAATCGCTCCATATTACAATAATCCTTCATTAAATCCACTTCCGATCGCTTGAATTGCATGAATTAATGATAAATTCCCACTAACCTCAATTATGGTGGAAAACCACTCGGGGAAGTCGTCAGGCAGAGACTTTTGCTTTATCATCCAATTGAGCAGCTTCTCAGCCATTTCTGCACACTCAAAACACTCACCAAGTACACAAACACAGCCACTGTGGTGGCGAAATGCGATTTTTCCAACGCGAAGCTCTGAAAACGTCCGCAAAAAAGCGAGTGGTGGGAAAATTGACTTGAGTTGAATATGACAGTTGATTTCACCACTTCAGTGCTGGCATGCCAGTTCGCTGCAAAACATTCTCTCGCTGTGGATTTTCTTGTTATTCGCATAAAATAGGCAAAAATTCAGCGTATTAGGCATTAAAGTAGTGTAAAATAGTCGAATGGCACAGTTTTTAAAGCAGGTAAGTGTTGTTTTCTGTTATTTGTAGATTTATCTGAGATCTTCTGAGATAACCTCAAAATTGCTCTTTCTGACCACTAATTGCACTTTCCAGGGCAACAGTGCTCTTCAGGGCGTGAAGAAGTTTGGCAGATTTGATACCGGTCTGGGCAAAAGACTCCCGGAGGCGTACAGGAAGTTCTGGCGCGAGTGGAGGGAAACGACACCCACTGCCGTTCACTACATCCCGAAGGAGGGCAAATTCGAGCGGAATGAGCGCACAGGAGTCGTGACGCCTGTCCAGAATCTGCCACTGCCCGCTCGCTATCCCAAGGAGTTCAACCATGGCATCTGGGGTGGTGAGCTCGTGGTGCAGGGCTTCGTGAAGCGCAATCCGTACAAGCAACGAGTGCCGCACTTCTGGATGCCGCGTCTGAGGCGAGTTGTACTGAAATCCGAGGTCCTGAACATGTTTATGTCCGTCGTGGTGACGGAGAGGACAATGGATCTCGTGCACTCCAGCCACGGATTCGATCACTATCTGCTGAAGACGCTGGCGTGCGATCTGGGCTCGAATCTCGCCGTGTCCATCAAGCGAAAGATTCTGCACGAGCTACAAGCGGGCTGTCCCAGTCACGAGGCGGATCCCAAGCGACAGCAGGAAGTACTGGACGAGTACTCGCGCTACCTGGAGCAGTACACGCCGGAGGAGATCGAGTGGTACGGCCTGACGTTCAGCCAGGCGCTGGGGAAGCTGCACAAGTCCATCGCCGAAGCGAATCCTATTGTGCCCCACAAAGTCCTCTTCCGCGCCAGGCTGATCGAGCAACTCCGCGAGGTGCAGAATAAGATCGCCGAGAAGGAAGAAACACCGGCATCTCATTTTGAGTCGACTTCCTGGCTCACGAAAGTCAATCCGTTCGGGAAGAAGCGGGAAACTTAGGATTGTCCCAGGGAATTTAGACTGTGTTTATTGGTTTTGCTTAGTAAATAAATCAACGGAATCACACTGGCTCTAATCCCGACTGAGGGCGAGTTGGATCAGCGGGAGAACCTTAATGGAGGAGAGATCGGCCAGCACAGCCTCGATGTTCTCGATGTAAGACACTTGCATGAGCGACTCCTTGCGGAAGCTGAGAATTATCACGGCCAGCAGGGAGAGGATCTCGAGGCTGTCGAAGCCCAGCACCAAATCCCAGAGGATCAGCAGCTGCTGCGGTGGCAAATGGCCACTGAAGGCGCGCATCAGCCACTTGAACACCACGCGAATCCTGCCAGGGAGGGAAAAGGTCGTGAGTTTGGTCTTATTAAGGCTCGATTTCGTCAGCGTTTCCAGGCAATACTCACGGTTGAATTTGGAGCTCGCGGAAGTGCGACCAGAGCTGCGGCTCGTGCGTCTGCAGCAGCTTCTCGTACAGCAGGCAGAGACTCACGATGCCCTGCGGATGGGTGTTGATGGTGGTCAGGCGATGGCAGTAGCGCACGTAGAAGGCGCGGAAGGTAAAGTAGAGCTTCACTGGCGAGTCGTACAGGTAGCAGAAGGGCGCCGCGAACATACAGATGCCATGGTGAGGCACAATGCCGCACGGCGGCCCCTCGAATTGCTTCCCGCTCTTCGGCGTGCCGGCGGCACTCGAGTCGCCGCTGAGAAGCTGTGCAATCTCGGCGTCGCGTGAGAAGCACAGCATCACCTGGTACAGGACGTCCTCGAACACGAAGTACTGGTCATCGTTGGTGGCGGTGAGCTGGACGTCCTTGAACACCAGCTTGTCCACGATGAGGTCCGTGGTCATCACGGTGCTCTTGAGCGCGTCCCAGTGCTCGCCGTGGTGTGCGTCGATGTGGCTGCCCAGCACGAAGGCCCACAGCTGGCCGCGCACCGGCGCCGGCGTGCAGCCCTTGCGGAGCACCTGCTGGCATACGGGCGCGTGGCGGAGTGCCAGCACCTTGTGGCACTGCGCCGTCCACTCGGCCACGCCGACGTCGTGGCGCAGGAGATCGCCGAAGTGGACGCGCAGCTCGAAGAGATTCTTCACGGGCAGCGCGATGTGCGAGAACTCCCAGCGCGGCAGAAACTCGTCCTCCTCGTGCTTCGTGGGGCCCTTGAGAGATAGCAGCACTTCCAGCAGGTCTTTGGGCGCATAAACCGGGCGGTAATTGGACAGATCAACCTGCGACGGGCGGGAGAAGTTTGAATTTGGCGCGGAATCCAATGAACTCTCTCACCTGGTAATTGCTCAGCTCCTCCCACTTGGTCGCCAGCTCTTCCCTGTCCGCCAGGATGCGCGTCTGTCCCTGCAGCGGCACCTTCAGCTCGGCACACATCGCCGTGAGGCTCCTCTTCACGCGCCTCTCCCACTGAATGCCCGCGCGCCGCAGGTAGTTGAGCGGATCGTGTGACGAGGACGTCGTGGAACGCACATCCGCGCGGATGGAGTTCCTGATCAGGTGGTAGATGAGGTTCCGGATCTCCGTGTCCAGACCCGTGCTCTTGATGGCGCTCTCCAGAGTCGTCTTCATGTCGTTCTTGTCCACATCCGGCGAGCACGCGAGCTTCTGCACCATCTTGTACAGGTTGTCGTAGATCTTCATCGTCTTGATGTCACTGCTGAGCTTGAGGGCGGTGTGGTGGATGCTGGCGTCGCGCAGCTCCTCCATCTCACCAGCGCGGCGTCCGCGAGCGTCGGCCTTCCGTGTGGAACTATTTCACTCGCGTCCCAGCGCCACTTCTTATACGGGGGGAATTTTCGCGGGGTATCGAATAAACAAAATCCGGCGCATCGCCAGGCAACTTCGCTCCCCATCCACTCTCTCTCTCTCTCCGCTTTCCCGAGGAGTCCCAAAGGGAAAGTCACTAGCCGCCTTTTGGGGAGTTCTATTGGTCTCAATATTAATATTTACATATTAAAAAATCAAATTTTAAATAAAAATAAATCAAAAAAAAGATTGGTTTCTAAGTAAAATTGCAAAATAATCAAAAATTTATTATTTTCGGGAATATATTTTATTAACTCAAAGTATATTTAAATATTTTCTGGATATTTTATTGAAATTTGAATACATTTATTCAAAATTTAAAAAAAATGCTGACTAGTCAGAAAGTCAGTGGTCTGAAATCGCGAGCGATTCTCCCCTTGAGGAGTCCGGAAGACACAGCGCGCGTCCTGAGGACATCCAGCGGAAGGGTTGGCGCGCGCGGCGCTCTCCCCGCGGGAGTGACACACAAAATTGATGGTATCTTCTCCACCCTCGTCGCGAAGAAAGTCACACAGAACTTGATTGTGTCGCTTCGGCTTTCACGCAAACGCTTCCCTTCTAATTCACTCTGTGAAATTGTATATCGCGTCCCAATAGCGCCAATTTGTGCACTCTCGCTCTGCACGACTTTCCCGGCATTTATTATTTTTCGTGGAAAATGCCTTTCCCGAAAATAGAATAAAGGCAAGAGAGGAAAACACTCCTTGTCACACAAATCGACTGAAAAATTGAGACATCAATACAATGTTAAATGCAAATTAGTTTTCCAACAAATATCTTCGTGCTTCCATCGCTGATGTATTCATTTTTCTTTGGACATTCTTGCAATTTATCTTTTCCTCCCACAAGCGAGAAAACTGTGCAAAACGAGAGTGGCACAAAACACGCAGATTGCATTTTGAAGTCAACACAATTTGGGTGATTCAACAATTTATACTCCAACCCAAATTCCACAAATTAGCTGTGAAAATTCACTGAAAACCACGCTTAATGTGTGTGTAAAAGGGAAATGTGAGACTCTGAAAGCGCGATGCTTAAAATTCAATTAGTTTTCCTGCGCTCTGCTGAAGTGAATCTCCGTGGATAACTCACTTAATCCCGCGTAATTGAGCTTTAATCCTCGCTGTGCAGTGTCAGCAATGTAATATTTATCAGGAACAAAGTAATTGATAGAGCAATTAATTAAATAAAGTATCCTGTTTGCAGCAGAAACTTTTCCATCTCACGGAAAATCCCATCAATCCACAATCTCGCGCGCGCGTCTGTGCAACTTCCTCACTCGCTAAATCCTCCAATATCCGCCCCCGCACTTCCCCCACCCCAAAAACACAACAGGAAGTCGTGAACTCATCAAGTGAATACCGGAACTTCAATTAATATGTGTTCTTGCAGGCATATTTGCTAAAAACACCCCACCTCGGCACATTTTCGCACGAGGGGTGACTTTCTGCCCACCCTTGAAAGGGTGTCTTTGTGCACTGGGAAAAATTTGTAAAAATATGCCTTCATCGTTACTTTTGGTTAAAAGAAAAATGTCTACGAACAATAGAGAAAATGCAAAAAAATCAATTAATAATTACCACAAAAATGGTAGAAAAGCTTGCCGGACTTTGGGAATTTGAAGGAAAGCTCGATTAATATAATTCGCATTGCTTTTCAGTTTTTTTTCACAGTGTGTGTTCTTTTGGTCGGAGGGAAAAATTCACGCTGAAACTTCAGCTTTTCCTGCGGGAAACATATAATTTTCTCTGATGAGCTGCGACTTTGAAAGGCTCTTTTTTTTCGGTGGAGAAATGAAAAGAATTCCACCATTTCATGTTTGGCCTTTGAACCCGCGCCTGAGAAATGATCAGAAAATCGTGAATGGAAGCAGCGATAGGAAATCGAGGCGAAACGCCAGAGAGAGACAGAGAATGGAGGAGTGAAGCACAATGAAATTGGAAAGGCAAGAAAAGAGTTAAGTTGTAGCAATGACAAACACATAAATCACAAGGTTGAGCTTCTTTTCTGGGCTCTCTTGCCTCGATATCAAATGACACAGTGACATTATCGATGGGCTCCCAACCCACGCGCGATATTGGCTGAGCTTCTGCACCCGCGAGACCCCAAAATTCTGTGACAGTCGCGCATTTTATCGTCAAATTCACTGTCTTTCAGAAAATTCAAATTTATTTTATATCCCATTTACATGATTTATTTATATCCTCTTGTTGCAATTTACTTTATTACTATTTCTCATTCACTTCTCCACTCGTATTTTTTTTTACTCTCGCGCACATGAAATCAGCGCGACAATGCAACAGAAAAGAAAACTTATATTTATCCTTGTTTGAATGGTTTCAATATCATTTCTTCTTTCACGAATTTAACTCAGCAAAAGTTCACCTTCAGACATCACTAAATATAAGTGAGGAAAAAAAATTATATTTAACTAATGAGTCTCTTCTTAAACCACTGCCATAAAAACTGTTTTTTTTTTACGTACAAAACTCAATAATAACAAAGAGAACAGAATTGTCTTTTTAAAAATAACTATACAAGCTAAGAATTGAATTTGTAATCACATTCGGTTTCAAGGAATTCCTCACTCTTTCCCTCGCTCACTCTGCTTATCAGCAGCGCAAATTATAGTGGCACAACTCTTTGGAATTTCTCTATTAGTCTCTCATGCACGCAAACACCTAAAATCTTATAAATCTCACCACTTTCTCTCAATTATTAAATTCTCCAATGAAATTTTGGGGTGGAATTTCATTTATCGTTTGTAGTATTAATTATTCAAAGTCATTGAATTTCTGGACAATAATTCATATTAGTTGTTCTATTTCCTTGTCGTTCTGTTTCGTTATCTGCACTTTATAAATAATTCCACCCCTTTTGCTGGAAGGATTCAGACAGCAAGGATAGAGAAAGGCAGCAACGAAAGATTCAGTAAACTCGTTTTAAATATACTCAACAGCATCACATTGAGAATGAATAAATAACAATTATAGTTTTTTTTTCTTGTCAAAAATCTCTGAGAGAATAAAACTTTTTGTGAAGGAAAACAACACAAATATAATTGATATGCATTGTGAAAATTGTTGCTATTCGCTAATGTTAAAATTCTTCAGATTATTCTGTCATTTCCAAGTCCATCTCTAAATTAAGTTTCTTCCCTCTTTGTTCACATTGTAATCTTTGCCAGAAAAAATGTCTCTTAAACAGTCAACAATTACAATATTTTTTCACTCTCTTTTTTCTAGTTGCTATTAGAATTTTTTTTCTTCTCTATTCTTGTGTTTATATTCATTTTCTGCTAGCTAAAAAACACATAAACATGATTTTTATATATCATCTTTTCTTTTTTTAAGCACAATATTCAGAGGATTCTCAATAAATCCACATTCCTGTTTCCGTTTAAGAAATGAGGGCAAATAAAATTGCTATTTTCTCTCACTCTCTCCCTCTCTCTCTATCTTCAATAAGTGGAACATCAAAAAGTCAATAATAATTGAGATATTTTGAATGTCAATTAATTGATCACGGAATTATAACAATATATACTTTACTCTGCTTGGTTTTTTTTTCTTCACATTAAATACACCCTCATTATGTTTTCTTGTTGCTCCCATTTAACCTTCGTTTCGCATTGTTTTTTACCTCTTTGCACTATTTCGTCCCGAATTATCCTTACAACATAATTCGTTCTCATTGTGTTTGCCATATATTTGTAGCATAAAATTTGCATTTTGCCGCGAAATTGAATGGCACAAACACAAAATTGCCCAACAGCATGAAACTTTACGGAAGATATTTAAGCCAGGAAAATAAAAAAAAACTGGGAAACTTTCCACATATATTGCACTCATTAGGCGCCTTCATAATGCGTCAAATGCACATTTTCTTGCACGTTTTCTACCCCTTTTTTTGCCACTGCAGATGGAGAAAAGTCCGCAGAAATGCTAACAATCACAAACACACACACAGGCTTTAATTGCTGTGGAAAACGCACGTGAGTTGTGTGGAGAAAATTAATGTTGTAAAACTCATTTTGATCATCCCATTTTCATGTCAAGATGCTAAATTAATTATATAGTGTGTTTTAACTGCAACAACTAATGTCGAGGGAGTCATACTGAATAGTTTTCCTCACAATTTTTTTTTTTACCTGTGTTTCTCTCTGGGCATTTGAATTTTCCAAATTTACGAATTGTTATTCTCACCACAGCATTGTATACAGTCCATACAGTTGTGCTATCTATTCCCTACATTCTTATTTGTTTCAGCTTGCGTCAGTTGTTGCTGCAAGAAAATTGTATCATTTTTTACACACACACAAAACTCTCTTTTTGTCATCTCAACTCACCTGTAGAGATCTAACTGTGTCAAGGAGTGTTCGTTTTTCATCCAAGAGTGTCGTTATATCATCCTGAGCAGCTTTCAAGTATGTCTTCAGCACTTCATTCTCCTGTCTTGCCCTCATTCTGCAAAAGAAAAGCAATCATCACTAGAAATCATTCATCACTCAATTGTCTTCTCTTCCTCACTGGTTCGATTCTGACGTCTTTTCTGCCGAATTCAGCTGCTTCTTCAGACTCTCATTGTCCATCTTGAGCTGCTGGAGAATCAACTGCAGCGATATCACTTCCCTATCTCTCTCCTTGCGAGTCGTTTGCGGCATTTCCGCCTCGCCACGATGTGTGTAACTCGATTCTGGCTGAATGTAGAAGATTCCCGACTTATCCCGCTCAATCTTCATCTTGCCAATGGCCAAATTTATGGGAATCGGACCAGGTGATGTGATATTAACCGGTGGACGATCTTCTATCAAGTTCAGTCGAACATTCTCTACGATAATCTACAAGTGAGGTGAAAAAATGAGTCAGTTTTTCTCCTTCAGCTGAAGATGCACACAAAACACTCACATCCATTGGAAGCGGTCGAGGAATTACTTCATCCTCACAGAGATCATTCAAGCCAATCACTGTGCTCATGGACAGCTGCATCGTGAGATCCTTCACCAGAACGTCCACTTTGTGTGTAAACCAGCTGCAAAAGACACACAATAATTAGCGAATTGCGAGCAAATTAGCGCTTGCAAAATCACCTCAACACGTTCTTCTTATCCTTGATGCCACTCTGAATGTCCTCAGGCGTGTTCAATTCCTCCTCAAGTCTCACTTGAATGCTCGGCGGCGATTCTGGATTATACGGAGCCATATTCCATGCTCGACATCGTGCGCCGAACTTTGTCTACAAAATTGTCCATCGAGCATAAGAAGAATTACTAGAAAATATCCTTGTCGAATTCCCATCGCTTTGATAGGTAGAAAAGTACACACTTTTCACTCAAGACATCAATCAAAACGCACACACACACTAAAATTGTGATCATTGAAGCCATTTAGAAAGAATTTCACTAATTCTTTCTCAGATTTTGGTGAGCAGAAACACGAAAAAAAAGTAGGGAAAATAGAGAAATCATGCAACTTGCAGAGATGGTTTCTTTCATATTCAAGATATCAATTTTTTTTTCTTCTTCTACCAATTCGTTTGCATCTTACCGGCAAGGATTACAAAAAGAAAATGCTGTTGGAAAATAAAGGAGTAAAAAAGCCTCAATTCTTTTTCTTCTATTGCAGCCTGTTCACAATGGCAAAAATGCACCGTGGAAAAGGAGGGAAAAATTTGGAAAAATCTTCTTCATAAAAAATGCCTTCTAAGAACAATTTCTATTACAAAATCACTAACATTTGTGTCATCACCAATGAAGATATTCCTCTATTTGTTCGAAAACTCTTTTATGGTGGGACTATAGATTTTTTTTATTTTAATCATTGTAGAGAAAGAAAATAAGATGGAAATATGTTGAGAAAACAAAGGTTCAGAGGGAAAAAAATTGGAGAAAAAGAGCTACAAGACAAAAAGACGTTCATTCAACTCATAAAAAGGAACTTCTAACACAATTCTACTGACAAAATTCCTTTTCTTCATCCTAACAGAGGATCATAATCATTTTCTGCATCTGGATTTCTTCTGCTTAATTCTTTAAATCTAAGGTAATATTACTTAAAACAAAAGTAAGATGTACCTTTGTCGTTTGGTGACCAGTCTTTTAATGTTTTTAACGATTTTTATGGGCAATTTTTTTGCGCGAGAATTTTTCGCAATCAAAATTGGTGTGATTATTTTTTTAAAGATCATTTTTTTTTGGGTAGTCAATTTCATTTGTTTTAGCGCCGCACATTTTTTTCCACATCGTAAGTTTTGGTTTTTAGTCATATCGCGATTCAATTTCATTTGATTGTTTTTGGTGGTTATTTTTTTGATTTGTTTGGAATAGAAGATAGAGAAAGCATGCAAAAAAGAAGATATATATTGCAACACATTAACATTGTATCATTGTAAATATATTGTATATATATATATATATTAATTCATATTTGATTAGAATATTCGACAGAGATAGAAGAGAGATAAGAGATAAATTGATTTGAAGAGAGAAGGATTATAGATATTATTTTAATTAAACACAAAATGAGAAATCATTGTGGAAACTTTATTTCACAAGTGAAAAGTTAAACTCAAGATAGAAGAAAGAGAGATTAAAAGAGCTGAAGAGCGCACACTTGACAGAGGAAGTGTTAAAGAAATATATTTTATTTTTCTCTTCACAGAGAGATAAGAGAAAATTTTCAAGGAAATCTTTCACTTTATATATATACACTTTTTCAAGAGAGAGAGAAAGAAAGAAAGAAAGGGCAGATAATGTTCTTCGGCTTTAATGTTATATTTCGGAAAGATTTGCCAGAAGCTAAGCGACACCATCAGAAAAAATTGTACTTTGAGGGAAAAGAAAAGTCTTTGAAAAGTCGTGTGACAGTGTTGAAAAGAAGTTCAAAAGGAAAATCAACAGATAAACAAGTTTAATTGATTTTCATTGAGACTGTCTCGCCCCACAAATTGGAGGGTAAAAAACGCTGTTTGTGAGTTTGTAAAAAGGTGACAATAGAGGCACGAATATTACCTGCAATTCATCCCACGGAATTGCTCCGCATTCATCGCACGAAACTGCCGCCACTTGAAGACGCAACGACGAGTTGGAGCCCTGATTCTGTCGGATGATTTCCACTGTCGTCAGCCTGAAGGGGAGAGGGAGGAAATTCAGGAAAAGGGTCTTTTTAACAGATAAGCACTCATACCGAAATGTGGCCATTGACACGAGATCTCTTCTTCGCCAAATACTCGCTTCTGAAGGTTCTGACGGTGACGAGATGTTCGTCTTGTAGGCCCCAGATTGCTCTTCACACACTTCACTGGCCATCTCAACGGGCGACGCCTTGAGATTGTTATCCGTGGCGAAAGGATTTAGTCTTAGAAAGGGAAAAACTTTTGTCAAAACAATTCTCACTATGAAAATCTCTCAATTTAGCACACCTAAACATCACATCCATGCAATCTGCCGTTCCCTCGACCATAATGTAGTTCTCAGAGTCTGAACTCAAGTCGCTGTGAATGGAGAATGTGTCGCTGGCATCATCTGTGCCCACCTTGAGTGCCGAATCAATTGATGTCATCATGTTGGAGAAGCCCTTCTTAATCGACAAGATTCCCGTGTTGATCTCTTTGGTGAAACTCGTGTCGCTCACCGAATTGCGATTCCTGCCGCCCTTCATTGAGCTCAGCAACTCAGTCTTGGCACTGGGCGATGGTGGAATGGGTTGACTAGACGTCGGCTGACTCTGAATCTGCACGTTGTATCTGCTAAGAGGAAGACAACGAAGGCTAATTAGAAAACCCAATAAATCTATCACACAATGCCGAAGAGAACTCACCCATGTGTGTTGGGATTGGAATGATGAAATCCATCCTGTGGCTCAATAAGTTCCGTGGGCGACGGAGATTCGACACTACTGAAAGGATTCATGCTCTTTGTGTGGTCAAGCGATGGCCAAGCGGTGTTTGTGCCCAAACTGGCTGAATCCGGCACAACACTCTCCCCATCGCCGCCCGTGGACTCCTTCCCGGGCGTCTGAGACGGCATCACGAGCGTCACCTCCACTTGAGGCACCACACATCCCACAATGATGGAGTTTGTCGTCGCCTTCTCCGCCATTATGCGCTTCGTGTCCAGCGACAGGAATGTGGAGAGCTCTGTGATCTCTTCAGCGAGTCGCAGAATGAACAGGAATTGATAGTGATCAATTTGCAGGCTCACCAAATTCGACACATGCGCAATCACATGGAGATCAGCCGACTTCTCATCGCCAGAACAGTCGGCATTCTGCGAGCGCAGCGTTGAGCTGTAGGTGCTGTCGAAGGACTGCTGCTGGTGGAAGGGATTGATGGAGTGTTGCTGTGAGGAGTAGAAGTCCTCCTGGACGTTTGGCATTAAGTACGATCCGCAATCCGTTGAGGATTGCCGGAGATCACTTAGAGATTGAATGGCAGGCTCCTTCTGCACCTTCCTGTGATTCCTCACTGTTGTGTCCGCGTCGAAGGGGAGGATTTTGGTGTCCGCCTGTGATTTCCCGTGAAGCCACAGTGTCACTGGGACGGCGTCCAGGAAGGGAATGGCCTTATTCACGCCCACAGATCGAGCGCCATAGAACTCTATCCAAATGGGATCCAATTTCACACACCACACATCTCGAGGTTCTGTCCACAGAGCGTGACGAGATAGAATTGATCCGGATGTGTTCGACTGCGGAGATCCTGGCTGAGAAGCTCCAGTTGGCGTCACATCGCTCGCCGCCACGTGAGACAGTATCCGATCGGTGACTATGCACAAATCTCCCTCCTTAGACGGAAATCCCGATGAGAAGACCAGACTTCCCTCTTGCAGAGAGTGCAACGCTTGCGCCAAGTCCGCCCGCGATGTGCCCATTTCACGGATGTTCGTCACTGAAGCTCTAGAGATCTGAACTTGCATGATCTTCGGACGATCTCGCTGCGATGGAGCATCAACACTAGACTCGAAGACAATTCGCGGCAAGATCGCCTCCATCTTCACATCCATATACATGAGACTTGGCTCATTCACGCCAGACGGTGATGAGGCATTGATAGAGTCCACAACGGACGTCCTCATGAGGCTGTTGTGAAGGTTCAGCCCAAAAGAACTCAACCACAGCAAACTGTCCACATCAAAGTGGATTTGTACTGGATTCACGTGAACAAATATCTTGGACGGAGGCACTAAAAGCAGAAATCAATGAGTCTTTTCCACTCATTTCACAATCAAATCTTCAACTCACATGGAAACACAAAATCCCCTGGATAGTAGAAGTAAGTAAACTCAGCGTGAACTGCTGACAATTCCGTTGGGAATGAATAGCGATCTTTATCACCTGTCAATACAAAAGAAAAGAAAATGAATTAATTTACAATTGCATTTAATAATCTCTCTCTCATGCAAAGTAAACAACACTACTGAAATCTACAAGAATAAGTGCAAAACCTGTTCTCAATTTCCTCTTTTGTTGTGCTAATAGAAGAAAAAAGCAGATTTGTTATGACTTCTGCCCATCAAATTCAAGTGTTCATCAACTCACCTGATATGAATTCCTTTGGCATTTGCTTCTTCCCGGACGTCGTCACACGATACAGCGTGAAGTCCTCAATTCGCAGGATAACGCACGCACTCATCAATTTGGATAGATTGTCCAGAACCTGCTTCTTCACTGGCGACTCCTGCATTGTCACACTATCGCGACTCGGTGGGCTGTTTGACGTCCTCTCCAGCGGCGCATGACTCGACGGTCGGTTTGGCTGATACAGATCCAATAGAGACTCGCGGAACTTGTTTAGCGACTGCTCAAGCCATAGAGCTGTTGGCGTGGAAGCCTCTTTGTACCTTCAAGGAAAGCAGAGTGTTGCGTTAATCGACGTGAAAACAGGAAAGAGGCAAAATCTCACTCACTTTGGCCAATGAACGCGACTCGCTTTCGCCAGATGATACGGATAGTAGTCCACTTGGAAGCCCTGCACGGAGATCTGCAGAGCTCCACCATCGCTGAGGTCCGGATGGCAGGATCGGCCATCGCCAGGATCATCGCACAGATGTAGATCGATTCTCTGGCTGAAGAAGTGATACGAAGTCTCGCGCACGTCGAAGAGATTGAAAGACTTCTGGGCAGTCGTTTGAGCTCCAGTCGCGTCAGTGGATCTGGATTGCTGGGCAATCTGTGCCTGATATTCCGGCAGCATTTCCAGCTTCTTCTGCGCCTTCGTCTTCTGATTGGCATTCGTCGAAGTCTTGATGAGGCCCGACAGCGAGTCGACAAAGTGCAGAGCCGCCTTCAGCTGCGAATCCGTGAGGACCCACAGCAGATCATCGAGAATCAGGACGAGACGACAATTCAGGACATTGCAGTCACTGAGGCGCTTCTTTATCGTGATCCGACAACTCGCCTGATTTGTCAGCAATCTCAGTGGCGTCAAGCTCTCGTCCTGCGTCGAACTCGCCTCAATTCGCACCGTTTGCCATGATAACTCCTTGAAGATCAGCAAGAGTCCGCGCGTGGGATCCTTGAGGCGAGTCACCCGCAAATCACCCAACAACCACTTGGGCGTCTTCGACTCCACGCGAATTCGCGACATTTGCACCGATGCCGTAAATGCGGGACTCTTGAAGTTCACATTCACGGTATTCACGATGATTGTGATGCCATCGATGACTTTATGGATAAAGCTGCAAAGCGGAAAATGCTCACGATAAGCCAACACACACGCTTTTCTCTGCACTCATTTCATTTCCGCCCCATTTGCTCTTCCACACTCACCTATATTTTCCTTGTGGCGCCGTTAAAGCTTGCAATCCAGGTGTCGCAGGACCGCCACCGGTTCGCCCAAATTCACACGTCTCCACGGAAATGTTCACCTCATCGAGACTCTGTGAGATGAAAAAAAGAGAGACGAACAAGACACTTGAGAAATTTTCTCCCCAACAAGAATTCACCGTAATGAAATTCCTTTTGGCAGAAGAAGAAGAAAAAAAAACACATTTCTTTCCCTCTTCGGCACAAACCAACAAAGAAAAGAAATGTGGTTGAATATTAAAAGTATGGACTTAATTAAATTCACTGTGATTTCACTGCGCATTCACTCTCTCTATATATATGATTATTCACAGAGCCAAAATACAGCGAAGAGCTTTACATGTAATGATAAGGAATTTTCATACCATAGTCTTGTAATTGCTGGCAGAATTCATAATCATATATAATAGTTTTCATTAGAGAAATGGAACCAATTTCCTTGACTTGCCGTATTTAATTTCAGTCGTGAATTTACCAACGGGAAAATTAATTAATTTATAGTTTCCAAATTAGTTATCGAAGTTGTTTCTTGAATAGTTCTTGAGTAGTTTGAAACAATCCTTTGCTCTTCTGAATCACACCTGTAAGGCTCAAAATGGCGATTGTGTTAAAAGTTTCACCACTTTTTTGTTAAAAAGATAAGTTTAAATCGAAAATGGCAAAAAAAGCCTCGAATCCAGAGCGAAACGTTAAAAAAAAAAAAAAGCAGAGCGACAAGTCAGAATCCTCAACACACAGCAGGGATTAAATAAACATGCGAAAAATACTGTCGCATTGTTTGCAATTTTCAAAGATATACGACAGGAATGTTATCCTGCTGACAAAATGGAACACAAACAGTATTTAATTTCAATAAATATTGATTTTGTGAAATTGAGGGATCACCAGCGACTCACCAGAGTTATTGGGACGCTCTTCAACTTAGTCCAGTGTATTCGGAAAGCCACATGATTGCACCAGGCCGATGTGAGGCGCAGCCACGACGGCAATTCCAGCAATTCAGTGAGAACATTCTCGTCAAGCTGCAAATTCGAGAGCTCGCCCTCGCCACGAAATGTGCTCAAATTTATCTTATCCGATGACAAATTCTTGGTGTATCTAGAAGCGTTCCGAGAGAGAGAAAGAGAGAAGAAAGTGTCATTGTTAATATAAGTTTCACACTGGCTCAAGTAAATTGGTCTAGCAGAGAAACAGTCAACAAACATGAATCTACTGGGTCAAAAAATTCCTTCTCTCCACCCTCTGACCTTTCCAGCGCCGACCGGGTTCTGTTTATTCTGACTTCTTGAGAAGCAAACACTCTACGACTGAATAATTGGACGCCACAGCTCAATCACTCTCTCTCCCAGCACATTCCGCACACACATGAAGTCCCAGTGAGTTGCTTATGTACCTTCTCTCCACTGAAATCCCCAATCAATTTCGCACATGATGAACAACAGAGTTTTATTAATAAAAAAAATCCCCAACAAAGAAGAGACTGAAATTCATTTTATAGAGAATCAATTTGTTGCAAAAAATATGAGAACAAAGTAGCGTAAAATTGAACGACAAACTTTCCTGTCCATCATCTGCTAACCACAAAGAGAGCAGCAGCAGCACTCTGTCTATCTCTATCAGGAAAACTTTTGACCTTTTGCCATTAATAATTCAATTTTCTTTGTCTTCACTTCCTCAACAGACTTCCTATGCATAGAAAATTCCATCGCACGCCGAAGAGGATGCCCGCGAGGCAAGAGGAGGCCTACAAAGGAGGAAGAAATTAACCATGAAGGAGAATCCAATTTGCCTCGGTAGTGTGGCTGGAAATTCAGCGACATATTCTGCCGCAAGATTATGAGTTGAGAGAAGCTTGCGAAAGTGCGAAGAAGATGCCACACATCACAGGAAAATTCCTCTTCCACGCAATCGTCACAACTCTGCCCTTTCACCCACTCTTTCTCTCCCTCTTCGGCAAACCTCCTCTCGCGCGGAGCATCTCCTTACCATCGTGCGAAAGAGGATTTATTATTCCGCATCATATAACTAAAGAAATTCACTCAATTCCCGGAGAGGAAATTGCATATTTTCCATCAACACTATTATATCCTTGCTCTCCTCGACGCATTATGGCTCAAAATACACACACACTTCAATTGTATTCCCAAAATATCAATAAAATGTCCTCTCTCTCTCACGTATATTGTTAAAAAACAACCATCAAAATTGCGTGATTCATTAATCGTATGACCATCTCATTAGGCGCCCACATTTAATGCCTTTTCTCTCCCTCTCTTTGCCGAACAACATCCACATCGCACTTCAATAATAGCTCGTAAAAGACTTCTCTGTATCGAGAAAAATATAAATATCAAGGATATGTGATGTGTTTTAATTCGCCCAGCTCTGCAATTTCACTCCGATTCCGCCTGACTGAAAATAAAATGTGAGTTTCCTTCAAAACATCGGGATTAAAGTACTCCTTTGGGACACAAGAGCGGAGATAAACAATGATACACAGAGACTGTGTCTTAGCACGACGCCATAATCCCACGGGAAGTCTTCGTATTCCAAACAGGAAAGCTTCCAGCACTTTATTACACTCAAAAGCAATTCTCCAGGCACACACACTCTAAACTAACTATTTAATCAGCTGCAAAATTCTATCATTTTCACCTAAAATCACGAAGAGAAAAAAAAACACCCAAAAACCTCTTATCGTGAAACCATGTTAACGACACTATAATGAGTATTTCAGGAAAAATAACGACTTTCTCACACAACCTTTATCAATATAGCGCATTATCGCAATCTCGAGTGATAAGGAAAAAAAATCATCAACTAACTAGAATAGCATAAAAATACTGACTTTCCACACTTTTGCCGGGGATAATAATAATTTCTCTTCCGAGCACATAATTTACATTAATTAAAAACATTGAATAAATTATGAAAGAAATGTACTCCGGAGGAATAAAAAACAACCTCCAGCGAAGACGATGCAAAATTAAATGGACTCTCTAATCCATAAACCTTCAGAGAACCCAGCATTAAAGCGATCCATTCCTCGCTTTTGCCCATTTTTCCTAATTCTCTCCGCAATTACCATCTCTCGAGCTGGGAATTTATGCCAAGGTGGGCTCTAATCAGGAAACACTTCTCCTTTTCACCACATCAAGTCACCGAAATTGTGTGTGTGTTTGCCTGAATAAGGAGGAAAAAAATCAGAGAAAATGTTCATTGAATTATAATCCCACTGGTTTTTATTTTGGCCAAAGAAAGAGAAGAAAAACACACAATTTTCCATCGCCCGGGTCGTCCTGAATTGCTGCTATCGACTGGAATATGAGGGCGTATAAAGTGACATGACCCCGAAGACTCTCACTTCGCATTTCCAACTCATCGATTTTCTCCCACGGGAATTTGGCCAGGACGACACAGAGGGCCAAATATTAATTTCCTCATGTGGTTTTTCCCCATTGTTTGACCGCGAGGAAAAAAAGGCGCCCATCGAGAACCCCCTTTTTCGCAACCTGTTCCACAAATTGTTGCTTTCGCCTTTTGCCAGCGCCAGAGGTTAAATAATTTTGGCAAATTAACAACTTTTGCCACACAAAAAGGGGCTCAAAGCTTTGCAATCGCAAAACCCTCCGTTCTTCTCCCCCTAATCGAAGACAAAGTATTGTTTTCCCGCGTGTAATTCAAGAACATTCCAACATTGCCATTGATATACCGAAAGCATATTATATTGCAAATTCTTGTGTCTTTTTGTAAACAAATACACGCAAATTCACAAAGCGAGAACTTCCTAAAGGGATTGAGAGATTTTCGGTATAAAGATAAGTGAGGAAACCATAGCAAACTCTCACTATCACAGTCCATTAATCCTATTATCTTGCAAAGATCCAATTGAATATTTAAACCCTCGCAAACACACATGATTCTGTGACAAGTTTATGAACAACAGTTTCTTGTGTTGATGCTAAATTTCAACACCTAATTGATCTCTAACTTATCACATTTGCTACTTTTCTCCATCTCTAATTCACGTTATTCACGTAATTTAGCATTATAATCTCTTCTTCTCCGTACAGCTTTCAGGGAATTTCTCATCCGCGGTAAGTTTTCTGTCGATATTGAATTTGCAAACTTTGTTCTTTGCGTAGGAAGTTTTTCTCTTGCCGGTCTCTGAAAATTCCACCGAAAAGTTCCATTATTTATATCCTTGTTTCCTCTGTGTCTTTGTTTGTATTTGAGTCTTTTTATAGCTGAAGAATCATTTTTGCCATCAGTAGTAAGAGTAAAATGTTGTCAATTTATTGAAACGCATTTTCTGCTCAGAAAAATGTCTTGAATTTGTTTCCTCTCCGCATCAATTTTTTGGATGAATATGCCCAATTTTCTTAGGGAGTTATTCCACTATGTTGGGGGAAAATGGGATTGATATTGAACTAATTGGTTATTAGACTGTAGATTTCAATTATTTTGCTCGTAAAATTGGGTTTAAGAGAGGAAATTACACACAATTAGTATCGATAAATGGCAAGATCCTATTCGACATTTCCACTACGTTTACTAGGGATTAACTGAGCATATTAAACTGAGTGCAGACTCTCAAAGTCGTATTTCCACTTAATTGTGGGATTAAAATGGTCCAAATCGAAATGTCGTGACTTAATTAGTAATGAGCACGAATTAACTCACTAAATTAGGTTTTAGTGCATCAAAAGAGCACCAAAATTGCCTTAGTTGCTCAAAAATTGGCAGTTTTTCTTGATTTCAGCTCTTATTTTCATTGGTTTTCCCCATTTTCCAAATACAACAGTGTGATCAACTGAGGCGCAACCACTGGGATAACTCTCTATGAGTCCATCAAGTCAGAAATTGTACTTCACTTTCCCAGCTGAGAAACCCCCAGATTTGCCCCCGAAGCGCCAGGATCAGTTGAGTGGGTGGTGTTTTTGGCGGCGCAGCGCGACTGAAGAGGCATTAGAAACAGTTAGTGCTGATGAAAATGTACCTATTCCTTGAATATTCATGAGGTGTCTCAGCCCTTCGCCAGTCAGGCCTCAGGCGATCTGCCTCCGGAGCCCGGAGATGAATTGGGGTGAAGGTCAAGTGGAGCGAGTCGCGGAGAGGTCGACCAATTGGCCGCAGAGCGACCCTCGGCGTGGGGTGTATTTTGCCTGTTTTGCAGTTGAGACTTGGAAAAACATGTGAGAATTTTCCGAGGTGTGGCAAATGGGGGTAAAATCCCCGCCATCGAGGGCTTCCAGCGATGTTCAACAAGTTTGCCCAACTTTCTGCCAATCCCACCCCACCCAGGGGAATTCCCTAACGAACACAGCCTCCCTCTGGCCACTTCCGGAGGCGAAGAGGGTCACATTGGGGGTGGAAATGGGAAAAATATGCCTCCACACCAGGCCAGAGAGGATGTTTTCCTGTGGGCCCCAGCGAAGGAAAATGTCGACTAATTGAGTTAGCTGTTTCACGGGCAATTTCGCACGCAATTGCACAGATACTCACCGAGATAGGTGCTTGAGAAGTTGATTCTTAATTATAGACACCATTATCACATAATTTTTCCTCCACTCTCACTAATTTTCCATTTTTTCTGCACTTTCCAAACTCACGAGCAGCACTAGAATTTTTCACGCACTGACATTTTGAATGTCACTTGCGCCCCACCACTTGGCCAATTCGCCGCGCAGGGGAAGAGCGCCGCTGGCGCCGCCTGGCGAAGAAAAAGTACGCGGGTTTTTTCGTTCAAGGATTAATTATAATTCAATTGAAGAAGTAATAATTTGATCATTGTGGGAAAATGCAAGCTGATTAGACGCGCCTGTAGAGGTAGAGATAGCCCAGATCCTTGGGCGGATTCTGCGAAATGGCCACTTTGTTGTCGTTGAATATCAACCACTGGCCGTCCTTCAGGATGTGGCAAATGTAGTGTCCCATCTGGGCGGACGTTCCCATGTGCGAGATGAAAGCCACCAGCTTGTAATCTGAAAACATCAGCTCATTAGCTCGGGAGGTCTTCAGCCGTCGGCTCTACTCACTGCTTCCACCATCCCTGATCGGAACATCCCGCGGAACTTCAGCTTCCTCGGTCGTCTCCATCGCATCCAACTCGCTCTGGTGCGAGAATATCCAGTCGGCCGCCCTCTCAATGTTGTTGCCAGTCTCCTTGAGGGCCTTCGAGGCCTGTCGCTCCGTGAATCCCATGCCCATCAGCATCTGCAGTCCATTGGCGTCGGGCACGAAAGCTGCAAAACGACAGAAAAGTATCTGTGAAACACCCGAAAACAACTGCGAAGCGTGCAATTCCTCACCAGCTCTGGAGACATCCGTTCCCGGCGGCACGAAAGGATCACTGAAGTCAGTGTCTGTGATGTGCTCCATGATCCACTGCGTGGCATTCTCCACGCCCGTGTTCTTCGTGAAGAAGATCGCCTTCTTGCACGCCTCCGGCGGGAATCCCATCTGCACCAGCTGATCCAGCACCTGTGCATCCATCGGCGGCAGCGGCGGCGGCTGGCCAGCAATCTCTGGCAACAGCTCTTCGCCCGCGCGACGCGGTTCCGCCCTCAGCGCGCTCAAGTCCAACTCATCGGGCACGTCAATGGACACGTCAAGCTTCTGTGACGACCAGTCGTCGTTGAGTGTGAACTTCTTGAAGTGAATCATGAGGAAGTCGGGCATCGTGGCGAGGCGGGTGATCTTCTTGGCTGTCGTCTTGTCCTTGATGGCCGTGCTGTAGAACTGATCGATGATCTCTTCACTGGTGAAGGCATTCAGGCACGAAACGAAGGATATCTTCGGGCGAACAGCCTCGTTGGGATCCAATTTCTCGCCCCTCTTCTTCGCCTCAAACAGCTTCTCCTCGTACGCCCGGATCTCCGGGATGTTCGTGGCCAGGTGGAGTGGAATCTGCAGCGGAAGACTCCACTCGTTCCGGGTGCTGTAGCGCACCTTGCCACTGGCTAAGCACATTACGCGCTCCTCCACAGAGTACTTCAGCGCCTCCGCCGGATTCACCTGTCCGCGGCTGTTCTTCTCCAGCGTCGCCACCAGATGCAGATAGAACTCATGCGCGTCCTGCTGGAGTTTCGTCGAGAACTCCGGATGATCCTTCCCGATGAGTGTCTTGAACATCGTCGGCGAAATGCCGACAGGCTCAGTTTTGCCACCATCATCAACTGGGACGCTGTACTTCCCGCTGAGCAGTCCGACGCCCAGCTTCGCCATCTGAATGTTGAAGTCAGCGGCCGGATCGCTGGGATACTTGCCGAAAATCCCCTCGGCATTCGTCACGAAGCGCTCCACGAAGTCCGGAATGGTGAAAATCACCTGCATGACGCTGTTGAGGTAACAGGAATTGCCCAGATTCTGCATTCCCGTGCATCCCGGCCCCGACATGGGTGTCAAATTGCTCCCACTCTCGCACATGAGACTCCACTCGCCCACGCGCTTGTTCAGATCCAATTCCAGCTCCACCATCGACTTCTCCGTCTTCTCCATCTGCGCAATCTTGATGCCGAAGTGCGCCAGGTGCTGCACCAGATACGGATCCTCCACCATGTCGTCCTCCTCGTAGCTGTACACGTCGCCCTTGCCCTCGGACGTGATGGTGCCCAGCTTCACGGCCAGCGGATAGCCGGTGTCCTTGTAGTGCAGCACTGCGTGGTCATTCCCGCCCGATCCGTCGAAGAAGCGCCGGCCGCACAGCACCGCGCCGTCCGTGAGATTGAGCCAGAGGTTCGTGGTGAGATCGCACTTGTCGCACTTCCAGCCGCTGGGCGGAATCTTCCGCCCATTGTCCAGCTGCAGGAGGTTCTTGGCGCACGCCGACACGTGACGCACCTCGCCGTCCCATGTGCCGGTGAGAGAGCTCTTCTCCGCCTTCTTCATGGCTGAGTCCGCCGCCAGGATGGCCGCCACGGAGTTCACCACGGGCTGCGGCAGTTTACTGCTGTACGCGACCGTCTGGAAGCTCGGCAGCAACACCACATTGTACACATCCTCGTAATTGTACTTCTTGCCGGCGCTGGGATCGAATCCGCCCTCAATCCCAATGGCCAGGCGTGTGATCTTCTTCTCCGGGCCCTCGACGCCGCCACTCTCGGGCGGAATCTCAGTCTTCAGGCGCCGGATGTGCAGGAAGACGGCATTCTTCGTCTTCTCATAGTAGCCCATCACGTAGTCCTTCCCGAAGCCCAGAAACGTGTTGAGGCACACATATAGACCCGTCTCGCTCTCCTGCGGATTAAAATGATTTCCGGATGAATCAACAAAATTCACCCCAAACATAACCTCAATCTCAAAGGCACTCTTCTTCACCCGGATTTCCAGCCACAAGCACGCATTTCCACCGTTCTTTCACCAAATAGAGATCAATAGGCACGCAGAGATGAGATTTGTGAGTGAAAATTGGGGGGAAATTGCGTATTTATAGTGGAAAACGTGATGATTTCTCTTACCGGGGTGTCAAAGGAATAGACGCACTCATCCTTGAAAATATTGTCGTAGCTGCTAGGCACGCGGATCCTGGCCAAGTAGTTCTGCAAATCATCCATCTTTAGCCACGCACGCACGTGAAATGCTTCCAAAATCACAATAAAAACGGATGATTGTGTGAATTGATGATTCGTGTTTGGTTCGACCCATCAAACTTACTGTCGACACACCAATAAAAACACTGAGCTGTTGGGAAATGTCTGTGGACAAGTGCGAAGACATGTCATCGGAAGCAGCCAATGATGGACTGAGATTTTTGCCCAGGCGGTCAAAATTTAGATTCCCCGATGTATAAATCAATGTGAGAACACCAAAAGCGTGCACACAATTGAGTATTTCACCTCAATTTAGCTTTGCAATAATTATTTGATTTTAGAAAATACTCCGTTGACGAACATTTCTGCTGACAGTCGACTCTCTGTTCTCCACAGACAGATGTTTATGGGGATATTGACAGTCGCATGTCAAAATAGTGGGAGTGAGTGCGAGAGGAAAACAAATTTTGCGATTCTTTGGGAATTTTCGGGCATAAAATGAGAGGCAGCAGAGGACAATGAGATGGATGACAGCGCCTTTGATACATCCAGTCAGGATTCCAGCGTGGTGGAGATGAATAATTCGCGCAGTGTCTTGCACAAAATCGCCAATCTCTATGCTGAGCAACTCATGTCCGATATCTGCCTGGTGGTCGGGAACAACCGATATCCCGCCCACAGGGTCATCCTCTGCGCCAGCAGCGAGGTCTTCCAGGTGCCTGGAGAGCGTGTCACGCGGGCGCGGCGGAGAAACTCACGCGGCTCTTTGTGTCTTTGCAGGTGATGCTGATGAACGCGGAGTGGAACGAGTCTCGCGAGAGTGTGATTGAGCTGAAGGAGGATCCCTGCTGCTCGATGGTGTTCCCGCAGTTCCTCAAATACCTCTACGTGGGCCAGATCCGAATATCCCTGCAGACGGTGATGCCCATGCTGGCGCTCGCCGACAAATACAACATCAAGGATCTCGTGCAACTCTGCGTGGATTACATGCTGAAACACATCGCCAAGGCGGCCACGCAGGGCTATCTAGTCTCCTGGCTCCAGTACACCATCTCCTTCAGTCCCTACCACCAGGAGGTGACGGACGCCTGCCAGCGCTTCATGAAATGGAACCTGGAAATAGTCGCGGACTCGAAGGACTTCGTGGACTTGGACGTGAGCATCCTGATTGTGCTGCTGCAGCAGAACGATCTGGTGCTCAAGAGTGAGTTTGACCTGTTCACATATCTGGAGAAGTGGCTGATGTTCCGGAAGCAGCAGATCGAGACTGAGGGCAGCGGATCCGCCGAGGAGCTGAACCACCAGATTCAGCAATTGCTCGAAAACACAGTCATTCACATCCGCTTCGCCATGATGACACCGCTGGAGCTCGCGAATCTCCTCTTGCGCCCCATCGTGAGTCTCAACAAGGCGTTTTTCGTGGACCTCATCGCCATCGGGATGTGCTACCACTCTGGCCAAGAGGAGCGCGTGACGGAGATTCGACGGAGTGAAGCGGGGCAGCTGCAATTCACGCCGCGCCTCTACACGACGGACGTCTGGGGGCTCAGCATGAGCATCAAAGAGTTCGAGAAGTGCGAGGACTTCCAGAATGTCGCCGCACTGTTCTTCTCCAAGAGCAACCTCTCGGAGTACCAGGAAGATCAGACAATTACGTGGGAGCTGGACTTCTTTCCGCGCGGCATTCGCTTCAATCGCGCCAAGTTGATCAATGTGTACAACATCAGTGTCCAGGGCGTGGACATTCCGGAAGCCATCCTCAAAACCGTTCGCCTGCGAGTCACGTGCAAGGATGAGCATCTCAAGGGTGAGAAGCGTTTCAAGGCAAGTAGAAGATTCGCACCTGTTTGCTGTACGAATTCTAATGTGCGCGATTGCCTTGCAGATCGGTGTCCTCATCACTGGCGTCCAGAACCAAATCACTCACATTCGCACGGTGCACGAGAGGATTCACTACTTCTCCCGCAGCAATCGGGTGCTCAATATTGACAATTTACTGCCATATGAGGAGCTGGAGCTGTGCTCCATCAAGCTGAGTCCGCATCTCACGGGAGATGACCGCGACACCCTCACGATTCAGGTGATCATCGCCCCGATGGGCCCCTTTGTGTGTCACGAGACGCCCGCCTTCGACTTCAAGTGAGCCCATCGAGACGGCTGGGCCCAAGTCGCCCACAGAGTAATTTGTTGTTGATATAATGTTTGATAGGAATCCACTTGTGTATATAATTGATAATGGACAAATGAAGGAGAGATTCTTTAACTGCGCCAGAGTTTCGCTCTGTCAGGGTCACAGTCAGGGTCACGCCAGTGAGTTGGGGGCGATGTTGGGGAAATCAAGAAACAATTAACCTCCGGTTGCTCACGTCACGTCTTCAGCGCGCTGTTTGCTTTTCGGATCGCCTCTGCAATTTATTTCTCCCATTAAATTGGCATTACGGAAGAGATTTAGTTCTTCCACTTCATCAATGCATTCTCTGGATGAGATTGTGTCGGGACAGCGCGTACGCAGTCCCGGCTATCAAAAATTGCGCGAACGAGTTATCCACATTAGGGATAATCGCAAGGGTCAGCCCAACCGGAGTGCAATGGAAGAGCCTCGCCTCGGGGGAACCGCCTTAGTGATCACGGTAGCCCCTACGCCAGGTAAGTATGCCTTCGCCGGCCGCCGCGCGGCCTCTTGGTCTGCGCCTTCGCGTGTTGTGCTCGCGAAGTATACGATCAGTGGGAAAAGTCATATTTCAGCACTCATCAAGTGAGATTAATTACAAATTACAAGAGTGGCGCCGAAAAAGAGACGACTTAATCGCACGGAGACAATTCGTCGGTTCCAAAAGTAGGTATTGTAAGTCCAAAACGCAACTTTTCTTGTTCTTGCCTTGCTGACATTTTCAAAGAAGTCAGGGTAAAAATTAATTAGCTAGATTTGGGCAAATTAAGCTCTTTTTCATGCCATGGAAGTCTCCAATTTCAGTTCCAATAGGATACTCAAACCATTCCTGTGAGCTCCTGTTCAATCCCTGTTGCCTTGGCGACCAGCTGATCCCTCGGAATGCACTCCAGATCCCAGAAGACACTCTAAAACAAGTTCACGAGGGCAGCATTATGAGTAATGAGCGGCAAAACATGCGAGGATTGTAAAATGAGGAGTTGCAGATGATTTTAGATGTACAGTAATGTGCAAAAGTTGTTCATTTGCAATTAAATGAGCAACAAATTGGATTAAAGTGCGTGTGTTGTGCTTCGAAATGCGGTTTCTTTAATTCTAGCCCAAAGCATTGTGATGAGATGCTCCTTTCACTCGCTAATCACTCACCGCAGACAATGTTCGCGGCGTTTGCTTGTGTTGCGCGCGTCGTTCTATTTCCGGACACTTTTGCAATTCAGTGTGATCGGGAGGGTGGCGCGCGGCTTCTCATATGCGCGACTGATGCATATTCATATCCCCAATAGAGATGCTTATGCGCGACACAGATTATCGTGGGCGCATTTGCATGACAAAGGGCAGTTTTGCGCGCCAACCCCGGAATTTGGCCACAAGTTCAGTGCAGCGCTCGCGAAAAGAGTCAATCATACAAAAGGCAGTAATTACCGTTCGATCCGATGACTATAACAGCACCAGAACATAAATCATAGAATTTTCTGCCACCTGACCAGGTGCTTTTTGCTCCGTCGCGCTGCGATGCTGTCCGGTGTCAGCAATCAATCCCCATTTTTGCACTCTGCGAAAGAAGACTCGCCCGACGACTTGTGCAACTATGTTTTTTGCCCAGACGTCCAGCGGCCAGAGAAATGCTCCTTGGCGACATTGTGCGCCGTTGCGGATCGCGCGCCAGCATCGAAATCGGAAATAGCAAGTGTTGCAGATTATGATGGGTCGCCGTCTGTTGGGTGGCAAGAACGGTTTCGCGTCCCATGGATGGACAGATGGCTGTCCTTTTATCACCTCTCCGCCGGACTGTGACCAGCGCAGCGTCTGAAATGTGCCACACCGGAGGATGCCAATGGAAGACGCACAAGATGCAGCGCGAAGGCTTTGAGATGAGTTGGAGAGAAAAAAAAAACGACCGAAGAAACTCCGGGAGTTTTGCAGAACACGTTTTCGAGAAATTCTCTTGAAAGTTTTCTCCGTATGGATGACACAGTGCATAGAAGGAGAATAACAGGAATTAGATTTTATTGTAGCCGCACAACTCTCTCAATGTATCAATTCCGAGCCATTGAGTCAATATATTAATTGTCTGTGGAAATTAAGTCATAAGAATTGCCAGTGAATTTCATTTGACTTGTTGCTCCATCGTGTGTATCAAAAGGCCCACCTTCTTGCAAACTCACCTCAAACCCTCCAACTGATTCAGCTTCTCTCCACCTCAATCTGATGCCCATAAAAGAGATTTCTCACAGTGCCGTGAAAATGACAATGAAAAATGAATCGCACTAATTGTCTCCGTGCGATTAATTCGTCTCTTTTTCGGCGCCACTCTTGTAATTTGTAATTAATCTCACTTGGTGAGTGCTGAAATATGACTTTTCCCACTGATCGTATACTTCGCGAGCACAACACGCGAAGGCGCAGGCCAAGAGGCCGCGCGGCGGCCGGCGAAGGCATACTTACCTGGCGTAGGGGCTACCGTGATCACTAAGGCGGTTCCCCCGAGGCGAGGCTCTTCCATTGCACTCCGGTTGGGCTGACCCTTGCGATTATCCCTAATGTGGATAACTCGTTCGCGCAATTTTTGATAGCCGGGACTGCGTACGCGCTGTCCCGACACAATCTTAACACACATGCGAAACTAAGACAAAATCTGTACCGCTTCTGACAAAAATTCCTCAGAACTTTTTTGAATGAAAGCTAGATTTAAAATTTTCTTAAACAAATTTCTTTATTCAATTATTTTTAATTAAGAAATATAAAAATAGATACTCAAAGGACATTGTAAAGAAATGGAAACCTGCAGAATTGATGATGAGAAATAATGGAATAGTAGTGTAGGTCATAGATTTAATAAATTTTACCCGATTTTTTCTGTTAGTAATCATATTTGCTTGGTGCGATTAAAGGTAGTGTGATTTGAATTGGGCCAGCAGTTGTTTATGGGCGCAATATTGTTGTAAATCCTGGAACAAAGCAGCAAGAAATGACTGGGAAAAGCTCTAAAATTTAGTCATTTGGTCAGCATTTCTGTGCCATGCCCTAAAATATTTCCATATTATTGCAAGAGCGCTCGACATTATCATAAAGTCGCTTCCGCCTTCGTGGTGGGATCCTAAGCAGGCTAAGTAGCGCAGGATCGCGCCTTTGAGTGAGACTCTTGCGCGGCAAAGTGAGCAGATGGCATCTGGCGATGACGGTCGCTCCCACATTTCGCAGTTATTACACATTTGCAATAAAATGTGGAATGCAGCTTGGAATTCATTCGCACTCCGCACAATTCCTCGCCGCAGATCCACAGGCCATCGGTGAATCTCCCGCGTCGAGATCACTGCGTCCGCCGAGACAATGAGGCAGAAATTCCAGCGCGATCGCGACTCGTGAATTAGCATATGAGGTGGGATATCTAAACATGAGGCTGTGCTCGCTTTTTTCCGCGTGCCCAAGATCACCACTGATTACTGGCTGTTTTTACGGGTCTGCCAACAATGTTGCTGCGGCTCAGGTTCCAGCGCGCTGCCCATTTTTTTGTCCCGCGGTCGCGATTCTCATGAGAAGCCAGGCTGTCTGCTTGGGCCATTTTGTCACTCTGCGGAATGTATATTTTCGAGATAATTCTCAGGCATCTCTCTCCGCCTAGAGACCTTCGCGGTGGGCCCGACACTCCGCGGATGGGAAGAATAATGAAATCTCCCATCACGTGTGGACGCTCTGTCGATGTTACATGCAATTATATATGCGATGTGGAAGCACAACAATAATGCGGATCATGGAGGTGTAAAGTGGCAAAAAGAGGTGAATTGTGCTAATTCACTAACTCTCTTTCCCATCTGGCTTCCAACACTTCTTGTCCATCTGTGCGTGATCTAAATAAATACCAAAACTGTACAAAAATTATCTCACCTTTTTTGCCCTTTTCCGCGGGACATTTTATTTTAAAGTTCTGCAAGTGTAGAAAAAGCCTTGGCATTGTCTGCGAAGGTGCTCAGCGAACACAACATGCTAACATCTCTAAGTTGAGATTTGAAAAGCTGATTTTTTCGCTAGGATCTTAGCGTATTTTTATAGAATTCACAAATTTTTATGACATTATATGCTCTTATGATTTTTCATCAACCAATCCACATGGTTTTAATGTCACTCAAAGATCTGTAAAATAATGTATAAGGGATGCTCATTGAATATGCTGATAAAGGCGCTTTTATCTGAGCAGGAAGTGGTGAAGAAATGATCAAAATTGTGCTTTAAAGATACGATAAATCCGCTTAATATTATTAAGTGCACCAGATTATTGTTCAAGTGCTTGTGAAATCGGAGCTCAGACATCTTAGCACTATTTAGCTAAAACTGTTAGCTTTTGTGGTTCGCTGGGATGTTTCAGAAGAATTTGTGGCTTCCTTTGTGTGGCGTGGAAAGCGCCAAGAAGCGCTGGAACCGAAAATTTGTGTCAGAGGTTAAAGATGTGCGATTGATTCTGCGTGTTGTGCATAATCGCGCTCGGCAGCATCGCGGCAGATCAGCCGTTAAGCAGTGCGTCGATCTGTGCGATCATGGGCGATCGATGATCGATCTGGAAGGATCCCTTTTCCGCCTGCGCGGCGCGCGATGGGCAAAAACCGGAGCGCGCTCATGAGTCAAGTCCAAGGCCCCGAGAGACTCGCGCGATCGAGTTTACCTGCTCTCGCTGGCCGGCGGTCGGGGGCCGGCGGGGGGCGCGGGAGAGAGCAAAAAAGAGTGGATCACACACAAGGTGCACACTCATGAGGACGGCCGCTGGGGCAGAATTGAGCGGTCGGAGAACAGATGATGGTGTTCGGCTGCCTGTGTGTGGAGCTCCAAGAAGTGGCGGCATCATCGTGTCGGTTGGCTCATTCCGTTACTTTTTCTCCCTGGCACACATGCGCGCCTCTCGCTCCAGCGTCCCGGGCCGGCATCTCGCCATCTCTTGGGATCCACGGTGTGTGCGCGCCGTTGGAGTCTTCTTGTTGGTCCGCTTGCCGGATGGAGGACGCCGCGACGTGGGGGGAGGGACTCGGCCCGAGCAGACAGGTAAACGGAGTCTCTTTCCACCTAACACAGAGTATTTTACAATTAACTCTGACCGAATAAGCACGTGTTTTTCGCGGAAGTTGG